GATCCAAGAGATACCCAGAGTTTCCAGAGGAGGTGGTGAGATGGAGGCACTGTGCAGGAACTTCAGAACAGGACGAATTCTCCCAGAGACTGAGTGGATAGGCACGAGAGATCAGAGCTTGGGCAAGGCACGAGAGAACTGAGAGCTGGAACCCGTGGAAACAGGACTGGACTCAGGAGGCGACGAAGAACTGCAGAAAACAAGATCACAGGGTAAGACTTGTATTCCATGAAACACTAAATGGCTAGAAACATTAAGTACCGGGGGAACTCAATGCTCCAGCGTCGAGTAGACTTGACTGCAGGCTTAAATAGGAGCAGGAGCTCATCAGGGAGATGGCCGTCAGCTGGGGTGATTGGCGGCCATCTTGGAAGCTGCAGCAAGTGCTACTCTCACAGTACCCCCCCCTCAAGAATCGCCTCCAGGCGATCCGAAGCGCTTCTCAGGGTGCGCTTGGAAGAAGGTAGTGATGAGGCTGGGGTCCAAGATAAATGAACGTGGAATCCAGGATCGCTCCTCAGGACTGTAACCCTCCCAGTCTACCAGGTACTGGAAATCTCTCCCCCGGCGCCGGACATCCAAGATCTTCCGGACAGAGAAAGCTGGATGATTGTCGATCAACCGGGGGGGAGGAGGGAGGTTGGTTGGAGGGCTCAACGGGCTCTCAGATACTGGTTTAACCTGAGAAACATGAAAGGTAGGGTGTACCTTCATGGAGGCAGGAAGTAGGAGACGGACTGCTGCTGGGTTGATGATCCTCTCGATAGGAAAAGGACAGATGAATCGAGGAGCCATCTTTCTGGAGAGGTCCTTGAGACGGATGTCCCTGGTGGACAACCACACCCTTTGACCAACCTGGTAAGGCGGCGCCGTCGAGCGGTGGCGGTCAGCGTACTTCTTATTTTGGGCAGCTGTCCGAAGAAGGGCTGACCTGGTCTGTCGCCAGACTCGACGACACCGTCTGAAATGGTGTAGGACCGAAGGTACCATGCAATCCGTTTCCTGACTGGGAAACAGAGGAGGCATGTACCCCAGCGACGCTTCAAAGGGAGACATACCAGTTGCAGAGGTCTTGTGTGAATTGTGCGCATACTCAACCCAGACCAGGTGACGGGACCAGGCCGAAGGATTGTCCTCCACGATGCAGCGTAAGGTGGCCTCTAGTTCCTGATTGCATCTTTCGGCCTGGCCGTTAGATTGCGGATGATACCCAGATGTGAGACTTGTGGATGCCCCCAGTGTCTTGCAGAACGATCTCCATACCTGAGAAATAAACTGGGGACCTCTGTCGGAAACTATGTCTGAGGGGATGCCGTGGATTCTGAAGACGTGTTGGACAAGGAGCTGTGAAGTCTCAAGGGCTGAAGGTAGCTTAGAAAGAGGAATGAAATGGGCCGCCTTAGAAAACCTGTCGACGACGGTCAGTATAGTGGTGTTCCCCTCTGAGGGAGGTAAGCCTGTAACAAAGTCAATGGAAATGTGTGACCAAGGGCGACTGGGTGACGGTAGAGGATGAAGGAGACCAGCCAGGGGTTGGTTCCCCGTTTTATTCCTGGCACAGGTGGGACATGCCGCGACAAACTCCTTCACATCTTGGGAAAGGGTTTGCCACCAAAAATGTTTCTTAGTAAGTGCGAGCATGCGAGTTATGCCAGGGTGGCAAGAAAGTCTATTGGTGTGGACCCACTCTAGAACCTTGGCCCTCATGGAAGAGGGAACAAATAAGGTTCCGGGGGGTCCAAGACCAGGGTCAGGTTTGTGTTCATGTGCCTCTCTGATCTCTCTCTCTATAGGCCAAGTAAATGCCCCAATAATGCAGGTAGAGGGTACGATGGATTCTTGACGGTCGGGGGTATCTGGAGGTGAAAACAACGGGAGAGTGCGTCAGGCTTCACATTCTTGGATCCCGGCTTGAACGTGAGTAAATAGTTGAACCTATTGAAAAAGAGTGACCAACGGGCCTGTCGGGGAGTCAAACGTTTAGCATCTCTCAAATAGGTTAAATTCTTGTGATCAGTCCAGATTAAGAAAGGAGTCTCTGTTCCCTCTAACCAGTGTCTCCACTCTTCGAGGGCCAACTTGACGGCGAGGAGCTCACGATTGCCCACATCGTAGTTCCTCTCTGCTGGAGAAAGACGTCGAGAGAAAAAAGCGCATGGGTGAACCTTGTTGTCCTCTGAGGACCTCTGGGACAGAACGGCCCCGACGCCAGAATCAGAGGCGTTGACTTCTAGGATGAATTGACGGCTCGGGTCCAGATGAGAAAGGATGGGAGGTGAAGAAAAAAGTCCTTTTAATTTCTTAAATGCGGTATCTGCTTCGGGGTTCCATTTGAAAATTTTATTTATGGAGGTGAGTTGTGACAGGGGGGCCGCAACTCTACTATAGTTACGAATGAAACGCCTATAGAAGTTAGCGAACCCGAGAAAGCCTTGAAGTTGTTTCCTAGTCTCCGGGGTGGGCCAATCCACTACTGCTCGGGTCTTTTCAGGATCTGTGCGATAGTGGCCTTTACCAAAAATGAACCCAAGAAAAGACACAGAGGAGACGTGAAACTCGCATTTCTCCTGTTTGACAAATAGCTGATTTTCATAAAGACATTGTAAAACTGCTCTAACATGGGTAACGTGCTGTTCGGGGTTCTTGGAGTAAATGAGGATGTCGTCAAGATAGATGAATACGAAATCACCGAGAAAATCTCTAAGTACGTCGTTTATAAGGGCCTGAAACACTGAAGGGGCATTGGTAAGGCCGAAGGGCATTACCAAATACTCAAAATGACCTAGAGGAGTCCTAAAGGCGGTCTTCCATTCGTCACCACTTTTAATTCGCACAAGATGATAGGCGTTACGCAGATCGAGTTTAGTGAAAATGGTTGCGGACTGAAGCTGTTCATGAATTGAGTCTATGAGAGGGAGAGGATACTTGTTCTTTACTGTTATGTTGTTTAAACCACGATAATCAATACAAGGATGCAGGGTCTTATCTTTTTTAGAGACGAAGAAGAACCCTGCTCCTAACTTAGAGGTGGATGGTCTAATAATACCTGAGTCCAACGACTCTTCAATGTAAGTCTTCATTGACTCTCTTTCTGGGCCAGAGATGTTAAACAGCCGACTGGCAGGAAAAGGGGCACCAGGAAGAAGGTCAATGGCGCAGTCATAAGGGCGATGAGGCGGGAGAGATAGAGCCTTGCTTTTACTGAAAACCGGGGATAAATCTTGATACTCGGAGGGAACCTGGGACATGTCAATCTCATCGTCGGGACTGGGGTTCTGGGAAGGTCTCGAGATACCGGAGCGAAGGCAGTTCTTTAGACATTTGTCGCTCCATCTCTCGATCCTACCCAGTTCCCAATTAATGTGTGGATTATGTTTCTTAAACCAAGGATGACCCAAAATGACTTGTGTGGAAGGGGATTCAAAAACGAGGAAACGGGTATGCTCGTGGTGATTACCGGACGTGATTAAATGAAGATCGGTGGTCTTATATTTGATCTGGGCGAGGGTTTCATCTGTAACACCGGCAATATTGAGGGGCTGAATCTCTACTATGGGAAGTGCGAATTCATTAACTAATCTCTGACTGATAAGATTTTGCTCAGCACCCGAATCTAACAATGCTGAGACGGAAAAACGATTCTGATTATTTTGAATTACGGTGGGTAAGATTAATCTGTGTTGTTGTAGAGAGAATGAGGATGTACCCACCAATACCTCTCTTTTTATTGGTAGGCACTCTCGTTTCCCCGCATGGGGCACGAGGCAATAGAATGACCCTTACTACCACAATAAATACAAAGATTGTGAATCTGACGTCTGTTTCGTTCGGCAGGAGTTAAACGGGCCCGTCCAACTTGCATTGGCTCGGGTTCAGGTAACGCAGGCTGTGGTGATGACGTAGACGCGAAATGACTCTGGGATTTGTAGTTTTCAACGGGGAAGCTATTTGGTGACAGACCTAACCCGGAAGTGAAGAATTGCCGGGAGTTGAAGTGTCGCTCACGGCAACGCTCCCGAAAACGTTCGTCTATGGAAATAGCGAGATTAACAAGAGCGTCGAAGTCGGAAGGTTCATCCCGTGCGGCTATCTGGTCCTTTATGTGGTCGGAAAGGGAATTTAAGAAGGTGCCCTGGAGCGCCCTTTCATTCCAACCAGTTTGTGCTGCGATGACGCGGAACTCGAGGGCGTGTTCGGAGACGGGTCGCCGGCCCTGACATTAACCCAAAAGACGTTTTTCTGCGTTGGGTCCCTGCAATGGCCTATCAAATATTTTACGGAACTCTGTGAGTAATAAATTAAACGAAACAGATCTTAACTCATGTTGCTTCAAAAAAGATGTTGCCCATTGCAAGGCGTTACCCTTAAGCGGACTGATGAAGAATGTGATCTTTGCGTTGTCAGTGTTATAAAGTCCTGGGGCTCCGTTGAAGGCAAGCTCACACTGAAGAAGAAAACCACCGCACTGGTCAGGGTTTCCCGAAAAAAGTTCGGATGGTTTGACGAGGATGTGTCCCGCAGTGTGGCCTGTCAAGCACGTGCAGGCAGGAACTGGCTCTGGAGGTGCGACTGGAGCTACAGGAGGAGGAGAAAGAGTCTGTTTAATGGCGTACACCATATTTCCAAGCTCCTGAAGGTTAGATTTAGTCTCTTGGTTCTGTTTAAACATGCATTCCAACATCTTCTCCACCCCAACGAGGCGTTCCTCTTGAGAGGGTGGTGAGACCGGCTCGTTCCTGGCCTCGATCTGGGTCTTAGATGGCTGGAGCATTTCTGTGATATCTCAGGGGTGACCCAATCGAACGAGACCCGGAACGACACGAGACTCAGAGTAAAAAAATAACAGTGTTTATTTATTTACAGTGATAAACTGGCTGCACAGGCATCAGGATGGAACTCCTGGAAACGGAGGACAAGTTCAGCTGGGGCAGGTAAGTTGTTTGGTATAAACTTGCAAGTAGCTTTCTTATCTTACAGTTGGTGGTTCTTGTAGGAGTCGATCCAAGAGATACCCAGAGTTTCCAGAGGAGGTGGTGAGATGGAGGCACTGTGCAGGAACTTCAGAACAGGACGAATTCTCCCAGAGACTGAGTGGATAGGCAC